CTCAATCATACCTTTGAGGTAACTGAGCTCAGTCATCATTTCCCGCATGGCGGCGGATTGTCCCAATAGGGACGCTCTGCTCAGTCGATTGTTGACCGGATCTGGTACAGCACGCCTCTCCTCCTGCAAGAGCTCTATCTCATCCTTGAGATGCTCTGGAAAGCCCACTACAGTAGGATCGGGGCTGTGTAGGAGGCCAAGGCCTTGAATAGACTCAACTCCCCCGAAAAACGCTGCATGTCGCTTGGGGTTACTCTCCACGCAATCCTCCTCATCGTTGATGCACAGGTCAGACAAACTGAGATCGGACGGCGACAGCGAGATGGAAAGACGGGGGAGCGGAAGATCAAGAAGAGGCGAATCGCCTGCAACGGAGGTAGCTGTAGACTTGGAGTTCACCGTAAGGTGAGGGGTGTCCGGGTCACTCATCTCTCCTGCAACGGATGTCTTCAGGTATTCGGCATACCCTAAAACGTGAGGGTCGGGAACAGGAGGTACGTCTTGGTTGAATGGAGCGGAGCATGTCATGGACTCCGGGGAAAGAAGTTCCGTATCGGTACTCCATTCAGAGAAATGGCTTCGCTCACAGACCGAGCTACCTGCCACAGAATCCGTATCGGTGAAATCGGAGAAGTGGCTAACCATAGCCTCCGTGTCAAACGCCTTTCCTCGAGCATCAATTTCGCGCAACGCCTCATCCATGACCGAGGATGGAGAGTTTGGTAGTGTCGGCAGCCGCTTTTCCCTGGGAACCGAGGGCCTTGGCGTCATGGCCAGATCCTCAGCTGTCGTAAATCCGATGGACGTCGCTAGCAAAGCAGAAGATTCCCAGAGTGATCTTTCGACTGCGTTGGTATGCTTCAAGTCGCGTGCTTTTGCGCGTGGTGTCACTTGTTCAGCAATAAATGGCTGCTCCGTGAATTTTTGAAATTTGTCTTGGATACTCGAGGGAACTGACTGGCGATCACCAGCAGCGGCCGGGGTCAAGTGATGGCCTGTGTAGACTCTGTGGTTATACGTCTGATCGTAACCGGTGGAAGGAGGGCGATTGATGACAATGTTCGGATGAATACTGGTATCAAAACGGCCAGTAGGTATATGAGGATTTGAATCCAACGGCCCCCGGTCTGGACTAGGTCTCGTAATCTCTGGTCCATGATGATCTCCAAGATCAGGAGACGAAGCGTTCCACTGTCGAAATGCAGCGAGGAGTCCTCTCGATCTTGGAGGGGATACAGACCGAGCGGTCTTGAACACTGGGCCCCTGGGTCCTTCGTTGACCTTGACCTTCGGGGTTGCGCTGCTGGGCTGGGAAGCGCTCCTGTTGGTGATGATTCCCAACGGAGAAGTGCTGAAGGACCAGGCTGGGGCTGGCTGCTCCAACAATGGAGGAGAAGTTCGGAGGCGCGGAAGCGTTGGTCTAGGCTTGGGCGGTCGTCGAGGGTTGAGGTACTTATCATCCGGGTTCATAGTTTGAGGAACCACGCTTTGCGCACTTGGGTTTCTTGAGTGGGTGTGCGCAGGGACGGCATCCGGAAGAATAACAGGCACATTGAGAACATTGACCGGCTGGCCTGGAAGAAATGGACAGTGGGTGGTAATGGGCTCTGCCTCATTGTAGTACTCCACATCATCGTCCAGCAGATACTGTGGGTCTGTTAGTACTCAATTCCCTGAATCAAAGACACACGGGAGTACAAACATAATACCAGTAGGTACCTCCCATCTTGAGTCCGCCAGAGCGTGCTGGAATCATGTGGGCCGGCGAACCATCGCACACGATGTTGGCGAATGTGTGACACCCCTTCCACTGACCCGGACCAACACGTCTGTCTCGCTCCATGAGGTAGGGCCTGGAGAAATTGTCCCATGAGCCTAGCAGTTTGACTGACTTGACCTGCGGATTGGTACAGCTGCATGTCGCCATCAGCAGGTGAGCGGGGATTCGCATTTCAGAGACCACAACTTACAGAAGGAATGTCATTAAAGTCGTCGAAGTCATGATTGCGATAGGTGTATATATAAGGTTTGAGAGATGACACAAGGAAGGTATGAGCTTTGAATACTAGTCTGAACTTCGGGAGATTTTGTGTCGGCTGGACTGGACACGAGGTGCTAAGCAAATGCGTCGATTGAAAGGAATGCAATGGATATTATCCCAAGACCAGCTTGGAACAAAGTGAGTGAAAGTAGAGACAAGGTAAATGAAGGGCGTTTGGCAGAAAGCCTAGTCAGGCTGTGTCCTGGAGTGGAATGTCAGGAGGAACAAATCCCACCGGCGATGTCCTGCCACGCGGTTCCCCTAGTGCGATATAAGAGTCGGAAGCTGAGAGCTGCGGCTTGACAGTGACTACTGTGCCATAACAACACAGAGAAAGCTGAACACCAACAATGTGCGAGAGAAAGGGTAGATCAGTGATTCATTAGCCGCGGGGCGGCGGGAGTTAAATTTGGACGTTCCTGGCCGAGAGGTGCGGAAGGATATACCAGGCCAATGATGCTGGAGGAATGGCAGACCGGAAGCGCCGACAGGGCGGACTACCTGGACGAGGAAGAACAATGACAGGCGGAAAAGGGTATTTTCAGCGCCTGCTGCAGGAGCCGGACGTTTCGAGCAGTACTTCTCCCACACAAATCTCACACGTTAGTCCAGGCGGGTCAATGAGGGTGAGAAAGCCGGAATTGAAGCCCAAGAGAGGACAAAGGTATAACAAACCACCATCAACTCGATCGCGCGTATGTGTACACTTCGAGCGTGACCTGAACGCCAACGGTTGTTATAAGTGGTGTACTCCGTCCTCCGGAACAGAGAGAAAATCAAGTTTCGGCAGGTCAGTAGCCCTGTAGCAAGACGGTGCGCTTGTCAGGGATCCACTGGGGGATGATATAAACACGTCACGATAGTGATCGTCCATACAAGAGAACTCTGCCGCGAGGGAGGAGAGTTCATGATGGCAGCCGGCCGACAGAAAAAGGACGCGCGATGAGATTCGAACATGGTTCCTGGGCGATGAGTGGTCCACCCAGGAGAGTTTTTCTGGGATGAGGATGCTGATCCTTCCTGGCGAACCAGAGTGGGCTTCAAAGGGACTCGAGTGCTGAACGAGTGGACACAACTGGATCACGGGCGTTTAGCTAGGCTGGATGCATGTTAGCTGTGCCTGGTATCGGTACCTTAGCAGGCTTAGCTCAAACAGCCTAGTCTAGGTAGTTCCTAGTGTGCAAGGGTGGAGACCGATGTAATTCCGAGGAAGGGAAATTGATGGATCAGAAAACAAAAGAAAAGGGACTGTAGCCAGCCACTGCACAAAGATGATAGATAGAGAGATAGCAGTGGTGGTTGACTGGGAGTAAAATGAATGATGATTGGAGACAGCGGCAGGGTGCAGTCACGGGTGGAAATTAATCTAGTACCTCAGTAGTAACCAAACAAGGAGCCAAAAAGTGGTGCCCAGAGTGTGGTGATCACTACTTGGGATTGGTGGTGGCTGGACACAAGCCACTCTGAGGCTGACCCTTTCTTCTTTTCCTTTCCCAATGAGTTATCCTCATCTTCTCGCCTCAACCACCGATCCGTTAAACAACAAATAAGCTTTGTCAATGTCACTTTCCAATCATCCTCTTGTCTTTCCCTTTCACCGAGAGATCAATCGCGGGATGGGAGATTTTTAGCGACGCGACCACTCTTCAGGAGGCATATCTGGCGGACCCAGAAAAACCTACGAATACGCGCCGATCGACTTCTCCACACCACGTGAGTGGCCCGCAGCGCAGGTGGGAAAGTTGACTACCGGTAAGCAGGAATGGGTTGGATATGTCGATTGTTGACTGCTGCGCCCTCTCATTGTTTATGCATGACTCCTGCATATCTCCGACACTCGCGCCATCATCCCCGGTCGGCTGTCCAGGAGCAGAGTGGCCTTAACGAACGACCCAGGGCTACTCCGTACACCACACAGAGTCACAGACAGACCTTTGGATCCCGTGTCAACAGCTGAAAATGGCCCTAATCAATAATCCTCGTGTTTCCTTCCCCTCTGAGCGCTTTTAAGAGCTAGGTGAATCTGGGCCATGTGGCACTAGACTAGGACATGGCCGGTGAATCCAACCTCACGCCCGGACCAGCGCGCTTGCGAACCATACACCAACGCCAGGGGTCAACTCCAGCCAGCCAATCAAGAGATCAGTCGGACCATCCTCGTCGCTTGAGTGTGTTGTTGCTGCAGGTCTGCAGCCAGTCAGTCTGTTTATTTCGCGGGTGCTGGGCAACTAGACTTGGATCTCTTAGGGGAAAACCCCAGAGCAACAGATAGATTGAAGTCTGGACTGGCCTAGAATGATCGTGCCTGTCTTTCTCCTCAGCTGTAGCAGGTCGTTGCCAGTTTCAACCCTCTGCGGTCGCTTTGACTGCCAGCGAATCGAGTTTCGACTTAAGCTTACCCTCTCACTTCAAACAATGCCGTGGGAGCATTTCAGTTCCAGTTTGGCGGGAGTAGCCGAGCAATCCGTGCAATGACACTGCCAATGATACACATCCTTGAAGTATATTGCAAGCTAGCCTACATGATATTAGGTACGAACTACGGATAGAAAATTACACAAGAGGAATTACAGGGAGGGAAAGTAAGCATAGACACTATTTTATTTAGTATGGTCGTAGCATTTGACCAGTCACAGCACCCCGTCAGAATTCAAGGAACCCAAAGCCCTCCCGACACGGACGGCGGCAACTGGGCGCTTGCTGCGACGCGTTTCATCTATAAAGCCCATGCACATTAGAACATGATTAAGGACTGAAGCCAAGCCGAAAAGCTACCACTGCTCAGACACCTGCATCAGAGCACAAGAGGTGAAACACGCAAAGAGAGAAGAGCCGGGGGGGGGGGGGGGGGAATAAGGCAAACGGGATGTCGCAGGGGTGGGAGAGAAGGCAGTGTCAGTGGATATGAATAGCAACAACAACGACAACAACAACAATGATCACCCTGAAGCAGTCGTAATCAATGATGCCCGTCCCGCTTATCATACATCCGGTTCACTGCCCCCAGCACGCACTTCAGAATGCCATCTGCACTCAGGGTCTGCCCCTTGTCGCCTCGCCACGGCACGGTGTCGACCATATCGCGCAAATTCTTCTGATGTGTCATCTTGCCGAGCTCATCGTCCAGGTCCTGCAGATACTGCCGCGCCACGGGGTCATCGCCGATCTGGAAGAACTGAATCCCGACCTGCCAGGGCACGGCCGAGATCTTGTCGAGTCGCTGGGCCATGTTGACGATGACGCTTTCCGCGTCATCCGTGAACGCCCCATCGGTGATGGCAATGATGTTCAAGGGCTTGACCAGCTGCGTGGAGTCCTCGAACCTATCGCTGGCGGCGACCTTTTTCTCCAGGTCACGGATGTAGGGCCCCAGGATATCCATCAAGCGGCGGCCGAACGGCGTCGGACCCTGGGGATGCACGCTGCCAAAAATCTCCCGGACGTTGTCTGCCAGCGTAATGTTTGGGTATGACCCCGGCCCCCTTCGACCAGTATCTCGGCGATGGTTGAGGAACCACACGTCGATTCCGTCCCTGTCATACTGCGTGCAGATCGGAGCGATCGCGGCGATAGCATCTTCGGCCTCCTTCCAACGCCGCCCGCGCATGGATGTGCTATCATCAACAAGGAATATGGTGTCAAACTCGCGTAGGAATGAATATGGCGAGTCGCCTGATGAGGTGCTCGACGCTGCTGATGGCATGGGCATATTCGCTGTGGGTTCAGCGGAGTACGGTGGGGGCGACCATGGGTCCTGATGGCTTGTTGGAGTTGCCTTTCCTATGCTTTGCGATTGGGACGCTGTGCTCCGATTGACTGAACCTGTTCGTGAGTGTCGCTTCTCATGCGACTGGGCTTGTCCCATGTTGGTGCTATCGTTGTAAGCTTGTTCCCTCGAGGTCTGGTGACGATGGGTTGAGTTTCGACGGGTAAGCTTATCTCGAAGGTGTTGTAAAAGTGGCATTTGGAAGGGGTAAAGATGTTTATAGTCGGTCAGCTCGATGATCTGTCTTGGAGTCGAGTAGGCGGGGATTTCCGGAGGCAAAGACGTAGCTCCCTTGAGAGAAGAGGTCGTTGTGTGTAGGGTGTATGGAAGGCGACAGAACAAAGTGAGGGCGCGGCATCACAGTAAATGTAATCATTTTTCCCGACTTTTCTTTTTATCATTTACCAAATGTCCGCAAGACATAGAAGGCGCAGTCAAGGCAGACTGGCTCAACCCAGACACTCGGGTTTCATTCCAGTCAGTATGACCTCAGGCTATATAACACAAACAAAATTTACTTTTGCGCAGTATATGAGTATGACTCCTTCATGATTCGACCCCCAGGGAAACAGATCCACGTGTGGACTGCTATGTAGAAACGACCCCGCTGCAGTGTAGAATGGTCTGCAATTCCAACCAATTAATTCCAAGAACCCAAGCCTAAGGCTTTCAGGCAGGAGTGACTTCGCCCCCTTTCAACATCCCGTGACTTCCATCTCCTTACCAGAAATCCAACATCCTGCCACAGTTGACACAGCGGCACTGCCCCGAAATGTAAGGTTAAAGCATTTTCAACCAGCATGGCTGCATAGCTCATTCCTGATGGCCACGAGCTCCACAAGGCGTGATAGTGAGATGCTAAAGCTACAGGGCTGCATTGGCATGCACTGTACTGTACATTGCTGAGGGGTATTAGGGAGGCTGTAAGGCTGATGGATGCTGAAAGGTTTGCTGCAAACCCATACACTATCGGAAGACCGGATGGTGGAAGGCAGTGCACAGCCTATTACGTACTCGTACTAGTAGCGGATACCCCGGGGGGCCCCAGTCAATACGGCACTGCCTCATCCCAAACCTTGGTTTATGCGACGGATAAGTAAAACCGAGATGGGTCTTATTATGAGGTTATGGTTGCATTATGAGTGTTTTCGCTAGCGGATCCATGTCAGTAAGCCAGTCACATGTGACTAGATTGACGTACAGTTATACAAATCGCGATACAGTCATCAACATTGACAAATAGATTATTTATGTTCATAGATATACACTAGGTATCATATCATATCAGCCAGCAACACTGTTGGTAAGAAGATGCACAGACGCTTTCTCCCTCCACGGGTCGAGACCGCTCATCTCTAAAAGCGTCTCAGCGGAGTGCTGTCACCCTTTCATGAATCCGTTCATCGTCCGTTTGCCCGAGGACATCGAACGTCTCGCCGACTTCCAAAATATCAATTAGGGCCAAAGCCTGATCGATGCCCAGGCGGTTACCAATAAGCGCCAAGCAATCAACCACCCATTTGCGTAGGGAATGGCCCTTCGGCTCAGTGGCACCAGCGAGAAACAAGGGCCACAGAAGAATCATGCCACGGATGAAGCCATATTCCAATGTCACCATCCTGAATGTAGTAGCCTCGCCGGTAACGAGGTCAGCGCTAAAGTGATAGGGCACACTGGCGCATATATCGAGAGCCAACTGCCTAGCCTTGTCGCGGACCTGCGCGAGATGGCTAGCCAGATCGGGAGTGAGGGTCGTGTTGGTGTTCAGTCGATATGTGTAGGTGAGGATGTATTCGCTGATCATAATCCGGGCACAGCGATATTGATTCCACGCGTGACAGAGCCATAGGTCTTGGTACACGTGGAATCGGTTGTTGTACGAATTGAGACCCCAATCGGCTTGGGTAGGCCAGGGGCTTTCGATGGTGGTATACAGAAATCGAGGCGGCAGAGCCGCAAGCCATGCCATCAACTCGCCTTCAATGCTATAAACAGTGGACAAGATCTCCTGATGGTCGGTGATGACTTTATCACGTATATCTGCCCGGAGATTGGCCAGTCGGCCACTTATACTGATCAATCGGTCGCTATAAGCTTCGGTCTGGGGCCGCAGAAATTGGGCCACCCTTGCGCAGTCAAGGACTGACTGCGGCACTCGAGCCTCTCGTTGCAAGCAGCTGATAATCTTGACACGCTCGTTAGTCAGGCCTGCGGAGGGAGAGGGCAATACTGGAATCTATCAACATACAATCTGATATCTTAATTGTAAGAACAACTTCAACCCTTCAGCTTTCTGAAGTTGTTCCACACCTCTCAACTCCAAGAGTGCAGCAGCCCCAGAAATATGATTTGTCCAGTTGTCGAGATTCTGCGGGGCTCTACTAGAGACAACCTGTTCTGCAATCAGACGCTGTGAGTGCGAACGGGGAAGTGCCCCAAAGTCAAACGCACCTCAAATATCGCTAGAAGTAAAACAGCGGCCAGGGTGGAATTGTCCCTAGCCTCTTTCTCATCGGTGACAGCAGAAGTAAGCAGCTGCAACGCTTGTCCGTACTCTTTCTCCGAGGTAATCCTTAGGGGAGTGGATCGCCTGGCGCGAGCGAGCATGGCCATTCCTGCAGAAGTCATACTAGCTATCATAGCTTGCTGACTGGGTGAGGACTGTAAATCGAGGATAAATTCTGTAGCAGAGTCTGGCCTCATCCAGATGCTTCCAATCCAATTATTCTGGCTCAGAAAGAAGCAGATGGCTTCATTCTTGGTGGGCTGATACGAAGGCTGTAGATCGAGGGGGCGCCGAGTGACAAGATCTCGTTGTAGGTCTGTATTCTCACTGAAGTCCCCAATGTTACTGGACCCCGATGCGGCGCTGGGGCTACTACTAGTCGTGCCACTGCTACCCCCACAGGGAATCTCAGACCGGCCACTAGAGCCGGATTTATTGGCTGGTTTAGTCTTGCGCGCTGAGGTCCCGGTCCGTGCCTTCCGAACGACCTGTTGACTCTCATCGCGGAACATTAAGGACAATTCGTCTCGGTATCCGGGGCAGACCCGGTTGCCCTTGGCGCACTGGGAGCAGGTTGGCCGCGCCTGATCGCACCGGATCTTGCGAGAGCGGCATTCCCCGCAGCCTTTGCTTGGCTTGCCGCAGAAGACCATCTTGAAACAGGCGCAGCGTGCAGAAGCGGCTGGTCGATCGTGCTGTGCTGGGGGCAACAAGCGATAGATAGATGGACCCAGTCGGATAAGGAGAGCCAAGCCCAGAATGGAGGCAACTCGAACGGGTAAGCAATGCGAAGAACGGCTTGAGCACCGCGACTTTCTAACGTTTGAGCTCAGAACGAGGCTGTGGAAGTAGAACTATGCTAGGATTAGTCCATTCAAGAGCCGGTGCATGTCCTACCGGAGATCTTTCTCGTCCAACCTGGCTGATATTGGTTGGGAGGAACACGGCCGTGGGAGATAAAGAGGTGTATGTAGTACGCCGGGTTGGCGGGTGCCTCAGGCGTGGGCAGCTTCCCGACTCCACGTGGGGTCCGGCTAACCTGATCGAGTATGCCTTGCGAGATGCCCTGGTGAGTGCGCATCGCAGTGGCACATGCTGATTCCGTTCATTATACGTCGCTTTTATGATCTTCTGAGGTCAACATCGGCCGTGTGCTGCTTAATTAAACTTTGATTCTACCCTATATGAAGAGAGTCCACTTACGCATTTATTCTTCGAATGACAACTGCTTAGCAGATGATGTAATGGCTAGGGCGCGGGATAATCAGCGTCAGCCCTATCGTTCTATGAACTGACCGGGTATGCTTCTATCTACCAAGAACGGAATGATAGCTGTAACCACGCAAGCAAGTAATAAAACACAGGCAGAGAATATTTCCTAGCTATGCACCAAGGCTAAGACCACAGCACATTGGCAATACCATGGGAAAGATAAGTTTCATTGTGTATTCGCGTTCGCGGGGAGCAATTCAAGCCATGACCGGCTACCGCTTTCATATATGTTGACTTTCTCGCAACCCCGTGCTGACACCTCCGGTCTATGTCTCGCGACAGATTCCTCCTCTCATACAATGAAAGGGTAGTGGAAAGCTCTAGGTGTATGAATGCGAGATCCCTGATTCGACTTCAGTGCATTGCTGTTGTTGCCTTGAAGGTGAGGAGGGTAACTGGGAGTATGAGACGACTGAGGCACGAACAGGTGGCTGCGTCTCATGCGACTGGGTATAAACTCGGGTGCTTCAGGGCGAAGAGTGGAGTAGTAGAATGTCGTACGCTTCTTGTTCTCATCGTCTGCTTTTCCGTAATCCTGTATATGGCGTGGGGCACCCTCATTCGGGCCTGGGAGTTGTCGTGATTCTGGGCGTCCTGGTAGGCCGAGGTATGGCGGTCTCAACATCCCAGGCTGAGAAGTAGCTTCAGTTGGACAGCACTGCGGGTAGTTCTGCACGGGCAATCGGGGTGTATTCGGGGCTGAAGCGAAGTGTAGTGGCAGAATATGCCGTGGAGCAAGGTAGGACGTCGCATGGGCCTAATCATTGACTCGCGTTATCGCCAACAAACTTCAAGTAGGAGGTTTTTTTGGCTCTGCTTACTGTATGTTGTTGACATGACGAGCGGTCTTGCTCTAAGAGCTGTCTACTAACACGATCCATCTCCATCTGTGGATAGGATTTTGTTTGCATGAGTGACGATCGCGTGACATTTGGGTGTATTTGACTCGGACTTGACGAGATGACCTGGCCGTTTGGAAGATATCCAGATGACAAAGTTGGCGGGAAGTAACTACCAGGCGCTGCAGATGACTGATAGTGCTCAGGCGATACAGCTGGAGGAAGGGTCCCAGGCGATATAGTTGGCGAAAAGGATAAAATAGCTGGTGTCAAGGCACCCGGAAAGCGTGCAGGCAAAGCAGCCGGTGAAAGGCCATGGGTTGGTGGAGCCAATCTAGGCCTCTCCCAATAATTGGGTTGGCGAGAAAACGAAACCATGCCAGGGTCAAGCTTTGAGGATTTACCATCAGTGAGTACTTTCGGACCTTCTTCATTTTTTTTCCAATGAGAATCAGAAGTACATTGGTTAAGTGAAATGCCTTACCTGGCTGGGCGAAAGCTCTAGGTGCGTATAATTCATGATTCAAAGTGATAAGAGCAAGGGAGTAGACGAATGAAAGAAATATTTGCAACACGGGAAGAAGGCTACAGAGAACAGATAGAGCAAAAGGTTGCTAGAGGCTAGAGTCTTCAGAGCGATTACCTGGGCTTCAGAAGTGTTCTGGGGAAGGAACTTTCGTCGCCGTAGGCTGCCAGTGACAATGGCCTTGAGCTGTATTTGACTACACTCTGGAGCTTCATCAACGCCTCAGTAAAGGCTGAGTGATTAGTCCTTGAAAGGCGTTTGCTCCACTTCATCATCAGTTTACAATCTAGAAATGTAGAGCAGCAAGTGAAATACTCAGACAAGTGTCATTAAGAATATGTACATTTTTTGGTTTTCTTTTTTTTTTTTTTGTTTTTATAATTTTAAGTTTTTTTTTGTTTTTTTACGAGGCGATTGCCTCGAAAGACAAGAGGCAGTCAGCTAGAAGGCTAGCTGAGGAAGCCCTCGAGCTGCTCGTACAACAGCTCGAGGGCTTCCTCAGCAGCCTCCTTCTCCGACTGCCTCTTGTCTTTCGAGGCAATCGCCTCGTCCAGGGCTTTCTGGGCAGCCCCGACGCCCTCAAGGTGCTGTATTAGGGCTACAGCCGCCTAGGAATTATTTGGTCAGCTACGTGATCATTCAGTGATATCTTCATTTGTTAGAGCTTACCCGCAAGAAAGTGTCCCGCTGGGGGGGGGTCATAGCCCCCCCACCGTACTTCTTGATGAAGTGATCAAGTACTCCATCGTGAGCTCCGACACGTTGTTTGACAAGCCTGTTCTCCGTTTGAACGCCAGTGTGGACCAGAACAGGGATTCTCGAAGGAGAAGCTGCGGCCAGGACAGACTTGCTTGAAAGTTCCGACGCTTGTCTGGCAAGGTAAGGGCTTCCGCTAGAAGCCGTGACAACGTGTCTGCGTGATCGGGACCCAGCGGCCGTGGGCGTGTGGACCGTGGTATTCGTAGGTAAAGTTCGTTCCACGTTCACCAAATTAAAGGCGCTAGGACCAGGGAGAGGTTTGTAGCCAGCAGGAAGCTGTTCGAGAGGTATCTGTATCGGACTCGAGATTTGACCGGTGCGAGTCTTGCGTGAATGAGTTATGCTCCATCCAAGGCTCGATGGCTTCATGGCAGCGCCAAGATTCTTGCTACTCACGGCCTTTCGAATTGGCTTCGCAGTTGGGGGGGTCTTTTGAATGCTGCCACCATTGTCGGGATTTATGAGCTCTTTGTCGGCACCAGCGCGAGGCTTGAACATGTTTCGAATACTGAAAATCTTCCTCTCACTGCGCGGGGCAGGATTCTGTACCCTTACGTCGATATAGGTCCTCGGGTTCTCAATAGACTTAGACAAGATATTTTCGAATGTCGCAGCTTGATCCGTTCCATTTGAAGGGTTCGATTTGAGAGGATCAGTGTCCTGGATCGGGAACTCATACATCGCCTCCACTGATGACGATCTGACGGGGTGTGAGTGAAGAGCTGCGGTCCTTTGAACTCTGAAAGATTCAACTGTAGAGCCGATGTGAGAGTCCGCAATGTGCTGAGTATCGTGATGACTTTCATTACTGGGCGGAGTGTGATCTTGTCCCTTCTTCAGACATGGAGATGCGATGGGAAGTAGATTGTCATTTGCCTGCAATTCGAGAGGAGAAGCTTTGGTGACCGAAGCCTGTGACCGAATCTGCCCTGACAGCACGCTCTTCGGGGCTGGAGCCGCTAATTTGCCTTCATAGGCCTTGGTCTCTTCGCCCAACCCTTGAGTTTCCACGCATGACTCGAAGCCTTCTTGCTCATTCGAATTGACGGGGTGACGACCATTGCCCGGAGTATCACCAATGCCATCTTGTCCTCTTTCAAATGAAGATGACTTGTCAATAGATTGGATCTCTCCAGAGTCAGAGCCCTGGCTTGATATGTATCCAACAGACTGTGATCCTGTACCTCTCAACACCTCATCTGCGGATGAAGAAATTCTCAGTCTTGGACCATGGATGCGCTGGGCAGTTCTTTCGGCCACGGGGGTACGATACTCGCCGGTATAGACGGTACGTCGTGGCTTCGGAGTCTCCTCATCGATGTTCAAATCATCATCAGACGAGTAGGTAGAGATAGTATGCCCTCTCCCAGTAGTAGGTACGACATTGGACGTAGTAGCACCTAACAACCCCTCTGATGACTGGGTACTAAGAGTGGAAGGAGCGTCAACGAAAGGAGCTTTTCCGATACATAGCTCTGTAAGTGTGACTTCATAGGCACAAGCAGGAGACGATGCACTGCGCTTTTGAACCGGCACAGGTATCGCACTGCGCTGTGCGCTGGGACTCTGCAACTCTCTTTCCAGTGGAGATGGCCCTGCCGGTGTTCTACGGTGGTAAGTAGCCATCGGGATCCGAGAGCGCTTGTTACTGTCGATGGAATATGAGGTAGAGCGAGAGGCCGAGACCTGAGATCTCTGAGACAGCAACAAGTTTTCTTCATCGTCTGTGGTGGTCAGTCTGATTGCCATGTGAATGCGATATAGGCCACTTACCATGGTTGACGTTTCCACATGGACGTTCTGATTTACTCTCCATGGAGAAATCTTTCAGGGGTGGTGCAATTTTAGATGCATCTTTCAAAAAGAAAGGACAGTTAGCATGAGAAAGACGTGGTGTAGTTAGCAAAACAAGCGTGAAGGGTAATTGTGTTGCGGCACAGTCACAAAGTCCTCTCAGTTATAAACACAACATTGTGGTCTAAGGCAGTGAATGAAGCTACTGAGAGAAAGAGCTCACATTTCATACCTTCACTAAGGGTAGTGCCAGATGGCCCAGTGTAACGTCTTTCAGGAGTTCGAGGGTCCTGGAAGGGATCTTGGACAGAAAGCTTGTCGGCAGCCATCCTGTGAAGGTTTGTCTTACGGTGGTGTAGAGGCTTTTCCCTTGCAGAAAAGCCGGAAGGTGGGATGATTTTCTGGGGAGATACAATGGAAGCTTTTTCTTGTGAAAGCGGAGGAGGTGTAGGGGTCCGTTTGTCCTTTGACAGCGAAGTAGCGGTGGTGAAAGTCTTGAGTTCAAGAGGACAAGGAGGAGTGATATGGTGAGAAGATGAAGCAGAAGGTGTCTGAGAGGTGGGATATTTTGCGTGTTTCTCACTTTCGTGTTGCTGCGTGGGGATTGGGGTCGTGTTCTCAGGCGCATAAACAAGCCAGTCCCAGAAAGCTAACAGAGAGGAGCGCACGCTGCCCCCTCTGCTTGAATCCACTGTCTGGCGGGTCCTCTGCACTGGGCCCCCGGGCGACAAAGCAGTCACGTTTAGGTCACTGCTGACCGACTGCCTAGAATGTCCTTGTCCAAGTCCAGAAGCTTGATTTGACTGGATCTTGTCAGTGACAGTTTCTCAAAAAGTCCTACATATAGCCTTCTACATACGTTTGAGACCGGGAGCAGAGCTGAACGATGCGGCAAAGGCAATTCTCCGTGCTTCGAGATCCTACCGGTGCGTCTCGGATAGTGACTCTAAATCATCCTGTTAGTTGCTTGTATCCCATCACATCCTCCAGTAACTGACCTTGAGTTTCTTGATCAATTGATCTCTTCTTCGCAACTTGCTGACATAAGAGCCTAGGCTTTGACGCCGACTCTTCTTCGCAGGAGATCTGGGAGGAGTGTTGCAAACGTTCTTCAGAACCTTAGTCCGCGGGTCTGAGACTACCCTCAGTATGCCTGGCCTTGAGTCAGACTGCGACGCATTCTTCCAATGCGAGAAACTGGGGGGAGTATGACTGTCTGCTTCATGAGTGTCATACACTATCCAATTGGGAGATTCTGCAGGAGTAACTGGACGTATAACGTCACGCTGCACAGTTAAATCTTCTGAGAACCCGGCGAAAAATGGAACCCGGCTGTCCTCGAAAACAGAAGCAGACGGACTCGGACAAAACCAAGCTCTAGTTGTGTCTTGATCTTCTCCTGATACACTGGGAAGCACAATTGTTGACACAGACTTGGTGTCTATCAGTGTATTTGTTGGATGCATTGTCATAAGCCTGTGGTATACAGCCGGCGTTGGTGAGCATGTGTCATAGGGGTTGGAGCCCCGTAGGGACCTTGGGTTGAACATGGTGCACGTATGTCAATCCCAGAGCCAAATCACAGGGGAGACACCAGTTCTTCTTTCTGGTCTTGTCAAGGCGGGAAGCCTCCTCCTGGATTCTGATTTGGCTGTTACTCTATACCGGACTCAGGGTTAGCATCTACCTGATATTATGATGAATGACTTCAAGAACGAGATGCAGAACATGACCGACAGAGATCACTTTTTGACAACACCTGAGAGTTACGAACTTTCACACTAGACGCGTGCAATCAGCTTTTGAGGGATACAGTGCACTCACCAGAGAGACGCTTCAAGTCAAAGGAGGGTTTTGTTCGATATGTGTTTCACGAATGGTAGCAGGGTAGGATGGTAGGTCATCTGAGGTGCTTCGGATGAAGGGGATGCAGAAGAATAAAGATGAAGAGAAGAAGAGATTATGATTGCTAAGGTTACCAAGTGAGAGACAGAACAAGCTCTCTTCACTGTGTTGTACCCAGAAACAGCCCGTTACCCAATTAGGAAACGCGCGAGGTCGAAGCTTGGGCGCCTGAGGCACAGAGCAGGCACTGCAGAGCATTTCATATCATGCCAGTGAATCTATCGGTGCTGTAAGGGTGCATTACGCTTTGTCTATGCTACAGTGTTGTTCAGCGGTGTAGCTCTTTGACCCAGGGACCTTATAGGGCGTAACGGGAGCTGTGCTTGGCAGGCACTACAGCTATCCATTATGACTTCTCTGTATCCTAAAGTAATGTAAGATAGAAGTAGTACTAGGGTTGTTAAGGCTTGCATTGACCATAGGAGGCTTTCCAGCAAATACTACGTTGATTTGGACGTCTGCTCCAAGCTCTTGCTGCATACTATGAATCTCATATAAACCAGAAATGTCAACAAAAACACTCATTTACTACCTTGAGCTATTGCTCTTCAGGTATAGTAGTTTTCTCTGTTGAAGGATCTATAGACCGCGTTTCCTTTTGCCCGCCTGAAGGGGCAAACCGACGCCAGCCGGCCTCTGCGCACCAGTCGCATCGCTCGACCACTCGCTAATTTCCCACTCAACGGTTGTTGAGTGGTCGTCGCTAACACCCACCCCGCGTCTCGTCTTCATCAAGCGGCCCAGCTGGCTACCTTCGATCATTTCCTCGAACCACGGTATCCCACCGAAAGTGCCTTGCCTGTAGCTCCGTGAGAGACCAGACCCATCGCCCCCCGCAGCAGCGGGAATGACTACACGAGACGGAGTGGGAGGGTCACTGGACGCTGCCGCCGGAACAGCAACCACCTTGCCTTCAGATTCGGGTTCCTGCTCTGCTTCAGCCTCCTCCTCTTCCTCGTCCACGTCTTCCACCTCACCCTCGCCAACTCTTGGCACTTCCTCAACTTCGGTGCCCTCCTCCTCCTCCTCATCCTCCTCATCCGAGGAAGGGACAACCGGGGGAAGTAGCTCCAGATCCTCCAGCTTACGTTGATGTTCACCGAAAAGACTACCCAGAGACACACTCATGAAATCCGCCTCATCCCGGGGCACCTCGCTCCAGTATGTGAGTGGGGTGCCGCAGAATCCGCAGAAGACCCGCTGAGTGTGAGGTGCATGGTGCGGGGAGAAGATGCGTCGGATACCTGCATGTGTTTCATCGGGAAAATAGGATTGCGTGTGGGATTGGTACCAAGATAACGGAACGCGAAGCCATGCCGTCAACGGTGAGCCCTGGAATCTACCTGGAACGATGTCAGTATCTATTCCACCGAGAAACTATCACTTCATCTGAAGGCGGCACAGGATAAAGCCGGCGCACCGACGCAGACCGGGAAAACTTACGGTTGTCTTGACTGGAGTCAAAGTAGACGTGGGCATGGTCGGTAACATCATCAGGCAGACGAATCAGATATTGATTGCGGCCGCATTGGCAAGATCCGCGTAGTGGCACGTGCTCAGTCATGGCTGCTGAAGCCGTGTGCGCCGTTGATAAGCTCTATCTAATTGTAGAAGCTTTCACGTTGAGACCGTAGCGCGAGTATGAGGTCATATAGCGAGGAATTTGGGGTCCAAGCAGACCAGATCAATTGCTGCAAGGTTCGCAGTCAATGTGATGGGGTTGATGGCAAGAAGAACAAGAGATGCTGATGCGCTGGGCGACGGGGGGGAAGCCTTGAAGAAATAGGCATGTATTGAGGGGCTCTGAGAGAGTGGTGGCATGGTGAAGTCCACAGTTGATCTAGAAGCGACCTGAACGATCGATGACGTTTATCGGCTGCCCGTGGAGACATCCGGAACAATTGGCCAGTTGGCGCTCCCAGGGCTGGTTTCAGGCCAGCCAGGCACATCACCGGCTTTGTGCCTGAGGAACGAACCACCAACCCAATTGTTGGGTCTTTCTTCTCTCTTTCCTCCGCTGGTCCAGGTTGATAGTCAATTTACCCCTGGCACATCACCAGAGACATCTATCCCTCTCCATGAGAAAACAAATCCCCAATCCGTATCTATTTAGCATACGAAAGGCCGAGTTCACATCGACTAGCCTCTATACTTCCCCACGGGTACTGTCTGTCTTCCGTCGCAGCCCAGCCACAACCGCCCCCCAGTCCGGCCGTCCGTCACATGAAAATCCGACTCACCCGCACACGCACATGATAATCTCCTTTCCCCGCGAAGCTCAGGACAACAAACAACAAATCGCATCTAACTCTCTTACACCAATCTCCGACATCAGACATTTGAAACCTCTACCACAGCTGAAACAAGAAGGGAAAAGGGGGGGGAAAAAGAAAGAAAGAAAGAAACTAAACCCCTTTGAACCCTAAGAAACGCATTAACCCCCCACCCCACCACTATGCCATCTGCACGCCCACCGGCCTCCCTGGCATCCAGCTCCTCCGAAACCTCCTACTCCCCCTTACCGAACAGCAGCGGCGCAACGGTACCCCACGATGAACCCGAGGACCGGTCCCCTTCCACCACCCCAACCGGCACCTCGGCATCCAAACCCAGCGCTGCTGGCGCACAGGAGAAGGAGAAACCGCGACTGACGGAACAAGAGAAAAAGAACAATCACATCGCCTCGGAGCAGAAGCGCCGCGCCGCGATTCGGGAAGGGTTCGATCGTTTGACGGAGCTGGTCCCTGGCCTGGAGGGGCAGGGGCGCAGCGAGAGTATCGTGCTTCGGAAGACGGTGGATTTCATCCAGCTACAGCTCCAGGAGCGACAGGAGTTGTTGGCGGAGATTGAACGCCGGGGCGGGCATATTGACGATGCCTTTCGGGTCTGACCTAGGTGGTTGGCTGACTGTATATGAGCGATGCGACTATTGATGACGATGATGATTACGATGACTATACGGGGGAGGGGGAAGCGGCATGATTGGGAGATATGAAGTAGCTTCAGCTTTGTTGGATATCAGAAGCTAGACACAGGAGACGAAGGTGCAGTCTGGCACTGCTAGTTTGCTCAATGTTCCGGTGGGATGCTATACGAGAACTTGGCTGGTTGCACAGCCTTTCTGTCCGGCGCTTCACGGCTTGGTTGCGCCCACTGGGGTCTCTTATCACACACGACGCTTCTTCATGGCGTGGAATTGGATGGTGTTCGGCGTCAAGATTGATTCCTATGTTGGCTTTGTGTAGGGCATTGACGCTGCGGAATCGCAGACGAGAGTCGGTGGGTTTCATGTGGCCTTCTACGAAGGGTACTCCGTATTGCCCTGAGGATACAGCTATTCTGTTGCGGGGTCAACAGATTGCAGCGACCTTTATATGTCCCTAGTGCAATTCAGAGCGAATATGATCATTTTACAAGAGCAACACCAGTGAAAGCGAGAACTCTCCATTGACACAATGATGAACCCCATTACAATACTACGCAGCATGGGAGATCGCATTCAGATGTGGCACAGCCTAAGTGGGACAGCAGCCCAGACAGCCAACCCCTTGCCTGTTCCCTGCATTGACTGATTGATAGATACCCCCACCCCCCTTCCCATCTGCCGTGATTGACCGCCTAGATGGACGATCCCGATGACCGAAAGCCTCAAAATTCGTCCGAATGCGGGAAACGCTCAGCCAACTGGGAAACCCATCTACACACCAAGACTCCTTTCAATCTACTTCTACTCCCCTACCTTTGATCGCGAATATAAACACCACCACCACCACCACCCACCCCCCCCTAAACCCCGCCAAAGAGGCGAGCCAAGAATGTCGGACAGCAAACAATCCCTCCTCCACAACCCTCCGGACCCGACAGACCCGCCGCCGGCCTACGATGACACGACCACCATCACGGGGACCAAACGCATGTCGACGCTGCCGCGACCGCCGCCGCTGGCGCTGCCGATCCTCAACCACCTGCGCAGCCAGCGCGTGATCCTGGCGTCGGCGTCGCCGCGGCGGCGGCAGATCCTGTCGCAGCTGGGGCTGCCGAAGCTGGAGATCATCCCGTCGAACACGGCGGAGGACTTCCCGAAGACGATGGAGCCGTTCGAGTACGTGCTGGCGACGGCGACGGAGAAGGCGCAGGCGGTGTACCGGCAGGAGATCCTGAACGAGGCCAAGGGGGAGCCGGGCCTGATCCTGGCGGCGGACACGATCATCGCCGACACGGCGTCGGGCCGCATCCTCGAGAAGCCCCGCTCCGAGGCCGACCACTTCGCCATGCTGAAGGCCCTGCGCGACGTCGGCGAGCACAAGGTCTACACCGCCATGTGCGCCATGGCGCCCCTCGTCAGCGCCCGCGACCCCGGCTATGCGCTGGAGACCGCCCTGGAGGAGACGGACGTCAAGTTCGACCAGGGCGTCACGGATGAGCTGCTGTGGGCGTATGTGCGCACCAGGGAGGGCGCGGATAAGGCCGGCGGGTACGGGTTGCAAGGGCTGGGGTCGATCTTGGTCGAGAAGATCGACGGGAGCTGGGATAATGTGGTGGGGTTGCCGTTGCGGTCGGCGTTGCAGTTGATGGAGAGGGTCGTGGCCAAGGCGGATGATGATGATCGCTTGTCCGGTGGGGAGGAGGATTTGTTGGAGGATGAGGAGGAGTAATTTTGGTGCAGTGGAGAAAGGGCCATCCATCCGCTGCTTGAATCAACCGGATTTGGTGGTAATTTGGGGACGAACACACATTTCCGAGATATCTATATGACTTATTTACTTGCCTTACATTGACTGGGCCATACAGTCAATCAAATCTTGCGCTGGGCGTCGAGATAACAATAGAGAGAAGAAGTACGGGTGAAGAGAAAAGGAAAATAATTAGAACAATCTCAAACCAGATCAATCACATACACGAGACACTCATTTTATGCTCCAGGGTAGTCAAGATTCCAGTACTGGCGTCTACCAGAAGAAAAAAGAAGACAGCATATACATAGGCAAAAACGCCTTAAACAAAACAAACATCAAACAAGAACACCACCCCGAATTTATGCCTTCCACACCCTGCGGATAGCCTCCGTCACACCAACATCGTTTGTCTCGAACTCGTACAGACCAACGGCTGTGCCGAGCGTGAACGCACGCAGCAGCCACTTCATGAATGCGGCAGTCTTGGGCACACGGCGGACAGGGAAGTAATCAGTGATGGAGGCGCTAAAAGGCGAGGGTTAGCTTCCTGGCTGATTGAGGCAAAAGACGACAATGTAACAGGAACGTACTCGAAACCGATGTGAGAGTGAACGACAATTGCGGAGCAGATGACAGCGTCCATGACGGGGCTCACAGAGCCGGCGGCGAAGGGAGCAATGCAGAGAGGGACGAGGGAAGCAGAGACGAGTCTAGACATAAATCATCAGCGCTATGTTCCAATTTTGTTGATCCCGGGTATCCGAATCGACGCACCTCTCAAAGGTCCAGTGGTAGCTACCGTGGACGGGGTGGGAGTGAGGAATGGGAGCAGGGTCGTTCACTAGAAGTCGAAAAAGAGCCAACGTTAGAAAAGTCATGTCCTCCGAACCAACCGTCCGTGGTCGTCATCGATGCGCTGCGGAGATTCGAAAAGAGAAACTTCGATAGACCCGATGCTCTTCAACGGCCAACAAAACTATCTCCTCATTGCACACCGACTTCAGGCTCGAGAAAGGTTGATCGATAGGATAACATACTGGTTCCCTGGATGGACTCTGTTTCAAAGATCCGTTAGCATCACCATACATTTCATGAGTTCCGATCAATCGCCCCCCCCCCCCCATGTCAATCCCCCACAAAAGCTCATCCACGCCCCCGCACAATCTTTTTGGACAGCCAACAGCCACACACACAAAACTTTTTTCTCGGATATATCGCGGGCGACTCACGAGGCAGAGGAGGCAGAATCTGCTTGTTGGCAGAGGCGTGGAAGGCCACGACCTGCGACACGCCGGCGGCATTCTTCGAGGCCCAAGGGGCGCGGAAGGCCGACAGGCAGGACTGCCGGAGGAGGGGCGACTGGCGCGCAATTGAAGCCATTGTGATAATCGAGGAGAGGAGAGTCGAATTGCAGCGGAAAAAGGAGGGTGAGGATTGGTGATCGCGGTTCGACGGCGCTACAGCGAGACAAGAAGTTGAAGTTGAGACTCGAGGCTCAGGATGGAACCTCGGGAGTCCGATCGGGAAACGGTCATCACATTGTCGGGTCCGTGATTGGTGCGTCGCTCTCCGCCCAGCCGAAAATGGCCGACACCCGGCAATACCATCTACAGCTGGAAGATGCGCAATGATGCTGGTAAGATGGTGTAAATTGGCGTATCCTTCTTAATAATCATCTAGGCTGCTCTGGCGCCTGGTACAGACCGCCTCAACTAAGACGATAGAGAGGGGATGGGGTGGCTACTGGGAAAGCTGTGCGAAAGAGTGGAACATATATTTCTGCCTCAGGCGCAAAAGCATTCTTGTTTCCCGAAGCAGCCGACGAGGAAAAGCTACTTACTAGGTACGGAGTACCTGAGCTCTTGTGACGCAGGTTCATTGATCATGTGCGTATCAAATGTACCTTGGTCTCAACAGGTATGAAGCAGAAGAGAAAAACAAAACAACAAGTCAGCCCTGCGACCGTATATGCTGATGTATGACGCTGACTGGAGATGTATCTGGGTAGGATATCGAAATGGCAAAAAGACTATGCTATGCACCCGATGGGGATTGAACCCATGACCTTCGCATTACAAGTGCGACGCTACTACCACTGAGCCACGAGTGCAATGATATCTACTTTGTTCTCGCACATTAACAACCATAGATGTTCTTTCTTTGACCCCTCGCATTGTACTAGACCAACAGGAAAAATTCCAGCACGTAATCTACCTCGTTGTTTGGCCTTATTCTACAGGTGATCCAATCTGAAAATGTCTATGAGATGGAATTTTTGTACTCTGAATTTTATCTGCGACCCAGCCGTCTACCGTTTTACCGTAGTAGACAATAGTACAAATCATCCAGAATAGAAACATACATGGTAAAGAAAATAATGGTACTGGGTGCTTGAGGATATTATACGAGAAGATGAGAATAAAACAACCAACCGGTTCAATGACCAAACCGCGGAATCTACTCGCGGGAGATCATGTCGTCACGAGCAGGGCCGGTACCGATCCACTTGACCGGGACCCCACCAAGACCGCGCTCGATGTACTCGATATAGGCGCGGGCGTTGGGAGGCAGATCTTCATACTTCTTGATGCCCATGGTCTTGCTCTTCCAGCCGGGGAGAGTGACGTACTCGACCTTGACCTTCTCCAAGACCTCGGGATCGGCAGGCATGGTGCTCTCCGTGCGGGTGCCGTCAGGAAGGATATAAGCAACACCGACCTTGATCTCGTCAAAGTCATCCAGAACGTCCAACTTGGTCAAGTTGAGAGCAGTGTAGTGGTTGACGGCCTGGGAGTAGCGGCAGAGGACCATGTCAAACCAACCACAGCGACGACGGCGACCGGTGGTGACACCAAACTCCTTACCAACACCCTGCAACTTGTCACCGAATTCATTCAGCTGCTCGCTGGGGAAGGGACCCGAGCCGACACGGGTGGTATAAGCCTTAACAACACCAATAATGGAGGTGATGCTGGTGGGGTTCAAGGACAGAGCCTGGACGGCACCACCCAAGCCGGTCGAAGACGAGGTCACGAAGGGATAGGTTCCGTGATCCAGATCAAGCATCAGAGCATTGGCACCCTCAACCAGAGTGTTGGAGGCATCCTTGTACTTCTGCAGGAAGGCCAATTGGTCGACAATGTAGGGACCCAGGCGCTGGCGGTACTCCTATGAACGGGCCGTCAGCATCATCGCCCGCACGACGCTCCAGCAATAACAAAAGCCTACCTTGAAACGCGCAAGCTCCTCCTCAACGTCGTAATCCAAGTCGCCAAAACGGGCAGTATATCCCGCATGCAGGGAACGCAACTTGCGCTCGAAAAGAGCCTCGTCCAAGATCTCGCCGACACGAACACCGCGACGAGCAGCCTTGTCACTGTAGCAAGGGCCGATACCCTTACCAGTGGTGCCAACCTTGCGACCACCGAGCTTGGCCTCTTCCAGGCCATCCACAACGGAGTGCAGGTCGAAGCAAACGTGAGCCCGGTCCGAGATGAAGATACGCTTTCCAGCGGTGGTCAGACCCTTAGTCTCGATAGCCGCCAGCTCCTTGAAGAAGCTGGGGACGTGCACCACAGTTCCTGCGCCAATGAGGTTGACACAAGAAGGGGAGACCAGTCCGGACGGAAGAATGTGGAAGTCATAAGTCGTAGAGCCATGAACGATAGTGTGGCCCGCGTCTAAGTGCGTCCGTAGTTAGATTGTATTCCCGTCAATCGCCGGTGAGCGCGTTTGCAAGGTGACAGAAAAAAACAAGTGAGAGCCGTGACAAGTACTGGGGGGGAAAAAAACTTACTGTGGCCGCCAGCGGCACGGCAGCAAAGCGTAGCTTCCTGCGCGAGCATATCCGTAATCTTTCCCTTTCCTGTTTTCGATTGATCTGATGTCAGCGTGCATTCATTGTTGGCAGAGTGGATACCGCAGGCAATGCAGACTGGCAGTGGTGTTTTCTCTCACCTTCATCACCCCACTGGCTACCAAGAACAATTGTGACACCCATTGTGAATGTGTTGATTTTGTGATATCTGAAGATCTAAAAGCAATTGAATACTTCGATCGTGAGGACTCCGTGAATCTGCAACAAGGGACAGAGATGGAGGGAGGAACGTCTGGAGGCGGGGCACGATAGTGGGTATGCGGATGAGTCAACGGATGAATCCGGCGTCAGTTGGACTGGCAGAAAAAAGGGAATTCGGTTGAGGAGGGGTTGATTGTTGTGGTAATATGTTAAAGAACACCAGAGGATTTCCAATGTATACCAGAGGTGACTGGAGCAGCGGCGAAGAGTTCGCGACCGTCAAAGACCAAAAAGCCGAAAAAAAGAAACGGAGGGGAAGGTCTGCGGAGGGGAAGATGATATATAGCACTCTCGGTCTCTCACTAACCTAACCTGCTGGGCGGGGCTGCCGGTGACTCCTCGATCGGTGCGTGCCCATTACCGCGGGCACCTGGTACCATACCGTACTCCAGCGGGCCAGCAACCTATGCCGGCCGCACTTGTTCATGGCATCATGCCCCCGTTTGCCGGTAATTTCATGTTACCGTCTCTAGCCCCCGCGGCGGGAGACCCCGCCGTATGCGGTATTTGCTGCTCGGGAGCCCAGTGCTCTCATCCTTTTCCCTCTGGTTAGTCGGGGACTTCCGACCGGTATCGGGATAGAGTTAGGGCTTGGGGCTCGGGGCTGGCAAGTAGGGCCTCTGCAGATCACGAATCATGATGCAAAAACAATAGGGGTTGGATATCGAGAAACAGCGAGATCACCGAGAGCTAGAGTTGGAATTGAAGGTTGCAATTCAAATACGCGTCCAAGGATATATCCATGGCCTTGGCAGAATATGATACACGGGATATCATCAAGTAGCTAACAATCACTATAACGCCAACGCCCTAAACCAATGCATGCATGCGTGCGTGCGACCTTCGCTGAGAGTGATGCTGAAATGTGGCCCAATACCTCATAAGTCATACTCTGCCTGTTGATCTCTATAGCATCTTCCCCCCCGAAATGACCCAATCGCGCAAGTCTCCGAGCTTGGAGATGCAGTCATAGTGCAATTCCCGCGCCACCTCCCAGTGTTTCCAGACCCTAAGATCCTGATCCAACGCGAGCTTGTACGCGTTGTAACCCCCCTTTGCGCTGCCTGCCACCATGGTGTCACTGCCTGCTTCGTCTAGTCCGTCCTCTGGGTCTAGCTTGACCTTGGCCGCATCCCCAATAGCACCAATCCAATTTGGAGCCATACCCGTCTCGGTGGCCTCCTGGCGTGCATTAAAGTGCTGTAACATGCGACGATTAAAGGCATTCCATTCAGACGTGTATACCGCCATCTCTGCGGTGTACCGCTCCCACACTGCGCGAGATAAGCCCATCTGCGCGGAGCCCGCACTGAGAGGGATCAGTTCAGGCACAGTCGGCCGTTTTGGCGGTCGAGGCAGGTCCAAGTCGCGAGGACGGGCGTTGCGCACCGTCGTCTTGGGGAAATTGGCACGAGACTCAAACGGCAAAGTAACATGAATGTCCTGAAGATCTTCGATGCCACCGTTTGTGGTTTGTGTGAGAGGAACCGTCTTGCTCAAGTCCTCGAGATTGAAGTTCTTGGCGTTCTCTTCCTTCTGCTCTTCCTTTGAAACTGGCACTGTCTTGTTGACTTCCTTCGTCTCATCCAATCTTTCCGTGGTCATGGGAGGTGGCGTGTCATCGAGATCCATTGCTTCTACGCCCGCATCCCCCGCTTTGGCTGTTTCCGGGGTGGTATTTCCGTTCATAGTTGTTGGTATCTCGTCAGCTTCGGCCGTAACAGTAGCTGGCTTAGGAGTAGGCCGCGTCTTGGTCGCCGTCCTTTGCTTGCGGGGACTTCTCTGTCGCTGGGCAGAGGCCGTCTGTGTCTGCTGAGCCCCTCCATTCTTCGGCTCGAATGACATGTTCTTGAACATCTCGGTCCATTGATCAGCAGGGAACCCAAATTGGGCGAAGGAAGTCGGCTGAGGCTCGGGTTCGGGAATGGGTCCCTCATGGTCATGGTTGGGCGCATCGGCAGAGTGTCCTTTCCTTTCGGTCTCCTCTCGACTCGCTGACCGTCCTCGCCCATCCTGATTCTGAACACCACCATCGAAGAAAGCGGCTCCATTCCAATTCTCGGCGAAGAAGGTGTTTCGCAACTGCTCATGACTGCTGCTCTTAAAGCTTCTGTTTCGTGGGACGCCATTCTGCTCGGGTTCTTGTTGTCTTTGCGCCAGAAGTCGTCAGTTCAGAGATTCATGAGTCACCCAAGTGTACCACATACGAGTTCGGTGGGCTTCTAAAGCCAAAGATATTAGGCGTATCGAAGGGGTTGTTTGCTGATGTGGTATCGTTTGCAGTCGACCCTGCTCACGTGTGTTGTTAGCACTCATGAATGCTTTAAAAGACATCATTCTGCCCGTTTAAAGATCACCAGAGCACAGTTCTAGGAAAGAGGCGAAACTCACTGGACCCGGTCTCCGGGGCCTGCTCTGTGTGAAAAGCAGTGAACTTCTTGTGAGGGTGCAGCCTGCTTTTGGGGACTGCCTTCGGCTTCCGTGCCAGAAACTCCTCCTCGTCATCCTCGTCAAGATCACTAGAACTGCTCGTGAACGAATAGTTTGTGTTCTTATCTGCTTTAAATTTCGGGCTAGCGCTACGATATCGTCCGCCTTCGGGGGGAGACGGGCTAGGTGGGTTGGTCCGGGAGCGAGGCTTGGGACTTTCAGTTGAATCCCGCGTACTCGCAGAGCGCCCAAGGTTGGCGCTGTCAAAGAATGTTCTCTCTCCTCCAGTGCTAGCATACCTGCTTCTCATTCGTTCGAATTCGGGCGTATCTGTCCGGTTAGTGGCAGTCTTCTTCGCCGTCGGCGACGGCGCAGCTCCAAAGTACGCATTCGAATTCTGTGAGCGCTCGTTCCGACTTGTGTATGAGGAAGTGTGTGTAGCCATAGGCTCATCGCCGCCCGCGGCGTGCGGAGCGAACCCCTGCTTCTTCTTCTTGGTTTGGGCCCGTGAAGCCTCTGGGTTCTCCGACTTGGTGGATGTCCTGAAGTACTCGAAAGCGGACTTGGGCCTTGCCGACTGCGCATTCGCCTTGGTGGGTCTAGGCGTAGCTCCGTTGTATCCCGCGCGTCCGGTCCGGGGGTCAAATGATGACCATCCGCCTGGCATGCCGTTTCCCTTCATGTCCTGGAATCCTCGATATGCGTCGGCCCTTGTCTGTCCCTCATCATGCGCCTTCTCCCATGGCTGTTTCGGCGCCGCGCGTGCATAGCTGGCATACCGTTGGGCGCCGCTCGAGGGCCCCGCATGGAAGGACTGTGGACGTGTCGTAGAAGGTGGCTTCGTAGGTGCAGGCTTTGAGGAATATGTGGAGGATTGAGGAGTGGAATTCGTCTTCCGCGGTGTGGTACTCTTAGCGGGGCCGTAGAATTTGCCGTACCCAGCGCGCAGTCGGTCCGTGTCATACCGCAATCGTTGTTGGGGGTCGATGAGGATCTCATGAGCCGCTTGGATGGCCTGAAACTTGGCGATGAAATCCACCTCGCGGCCAGGATTCCTATCGGGATGGTACTTCAAAGCTGTGACGTGTCAATACAGCACTCCCAGCCAGGTTGACAATAAGGCCTTGCTCCCACCTAATTTTCGAAATTGCCGCTTGATTTCCTCCGTCTCTGCACTGGGAGTGAGACCCAGGTCGGCGTAGTAGTCTCTCCGCACGTCTGCCTTAACCATCTTGAGAGGACGGCCGGGCCTGCAATTGTTTGCTTCTCGCCGAAGGACTGTGTGCCACTAGAATCACGCCAAGGTTTGACCGTGCTGTACACATGACCTCTCGCGGCAAGCAAAGGACTAGATTTCGAATGGCCCTCCGAGTAAAAGAGCGGTAAAGGACCGACTAGAGATATATGGAAGGAGAGAGGAGAGTGGAACGGTTTGGCGATCGTTTGCAAACGAGGGATCGAAGTCGAGTTCTGTCGGCTCGGAGGTTGCTGAGGGGAAAAGGGACAAAAACAAAGCAATCAAATCGTCGCTGATTAGCCTTAAAGGCCCTAGTTGGTGCCATGCAGGATTAGCCCAGCCCTTGGGTAAATCTTCCAATATATGAAGCAGTACAAGAAACAACTACTTACCTCCTGCGTCTCTAGTCCAAGGCTGGGGGCAAACTCCTTGATGGGCGATTCAATAAATTCACCAAGAACTTTTTTTCCCTATCGGACAGCGCGCCGCGATAAAGCGTTCCGAGCCAACATGATCTCCCGGAGCAACAATGCGATCATCCACTTCTGACTCCACAACGACCGAACATTCGAGGTGGCTATTTTAGGTAGCAAGGAAAGAACGAATAAATGACAGAGCTAGACAGAGCTATTGTCAATATAGCACAGTTGAATCCAGATGAAGTATTTTCAAAGATAAAAAGAAGGAAGGAAGGAAGAAAAGAAAGAAAGAAACCTCAAGCAAGGCACACGACGAAGACTACACGAGACGAGACAGTATTGGAGGGATTGACGGAGAACAGTTCGACCTCAACTCGTTTCAATTCTTGAGTTATACGTTGGACTTGAATGTTGAGGTATATCGGTGAAATCGATGTAGTGCTTGCAATCGGGAGAGGGAGACAGAGAAACTGGATAGAAAGAGCCAGAGTCAAACGCTTGGACCCAAGGGACTCCGGGGTAGTAGTACTGAGTACGTAGTAGGGCAACGTCAATCAACCATACACACCTCGACTAACGTTAGTTTGAGTAGGCGACTTGGCCCTCGGCCTTAGTTGGGACTTGTTAAGGTTGGCTTACTTCCAGTACTCCATTTACCGCCGCCAACTCATTGAACCCGGCTTCATTATTTGCTGCCCAATTTGGTATCCTGACTCGGCCTCACCTTTGCTCCACACTGACACCGAACTTTGCTGACCACCCCACTATCCATCTATCTACCTCTCTATCTACCTATCTCACTATCTCTTTGTATGTCGACCTATTTTGGCTCTTTGGGTCGCAGTGCGCCTTAATATCCTACATCCATCCGCTGTTGCTCCTGGATGATACTTATGACAATCGACTTCAGCAAACACCAAAGGTAAATCTGGCAGATGTCAGGTCTAGGGTTGCCTACCTGCTACACTCTGATCCTTTAGTGCGCTGGATAAAATCTGTATTGTCCTTTCGCTATCGATCTTTCGATCTAGGCATAAGGGGCAACTGACTACTCCCACCAAAAACTAACGCTGATACCCCCGTGTAAGCTACGAACATAATGCCACCAGCCCACAGGTATATACAGGCACTCGCCCTCCTTGATGATCGTCTCGACGTACTCTGCCTGCAGGAATCCCGGCCATAGGTCCTCCCACTGTTCAGCCTCGGCCGGGGACGTTTCAATGGCTGCCAGATCCACCTGCGAGGTATTCGACATGTCAATCGCTTGAGCCTGCTCATCTTTCCTCGCGGCCATCTCCGGTGATGAAGAGTCATCTGCGTTGATGGATGCAATTAGTTCCCTTTGAAGTTGGATGTCTGCTTGCCTATCGCCTTCACTGGAGATCTCGTCCGATGATCGATTCACAACCTCCGTTCCCTTCGGATAGATCTGCGAGGCTGGCGTATGAGGCGAGTAGAGTCGAACGTATTTTGCGCCCACTACCTGAACAAAGATGTTATGATACGGATCATGGTGCAATGGTGAAATGGTCCACGACGGTCCGATCCAGGTATTGATGTAGGGACCGCTGGAGTCATCGTTCACGGAGTCATCGCTTGCGGAACCGGTCTCCACAGCGCCAGCATCAACCTGCGCCGAAGCATACATTTCCGTGTTTGTGATAGTTGCTCCCTGCTCATTCTTTCTTTTCCTGGATTCCTCCGCTTCCAACCGCTTCTTCAGATACACGGGTGTACCCGGCTCCGGTCCCGGAGGATCGACATAGCAGTAATCAGGGATACAGATATCGTTCCGTAGAGCTGGAATCTGGGCCAACAGGTCATGCTGTGCCAGATAACCGGTGGGGCCATCTTGATTCCGGTCCCGATCCAGGTAATCGTCGACGAACTCGCTGAAGGGGATAATCTGCTGGCCCCAGTCGTCATCCGTGTAAGCTCTACCAATCTCCACGGGCACGAGTCTTCGACCGTCGAACGTGCGATCAGCCCAGTAAGCACGGGAAGACCACGACCGGGTCGTTAGAGCAGGCCAGTGTTCCACTGCATCAGTGATTACCAGGGGAGTTCGAGATGTGTAGCTATGCGCTTTGAACTGCTCAAACGACAGCGCTGAGACGCGAGGAATGGGATATTTTATTTGAGGTGTTGGTGCTGCATCCGCGGAGAAGAGCGAATTGCGCTCTGTCTGTTTAGGTGCTGCATGCTGCAGTGTGGATCCAGTGGATGCCTGGAGGGCATTGATCAGGGTCTCGATAAGATTCTCGCGCAGTGGCGCGCCAGTCATGATCAGTGCTCGGTCGAGTAAGTGTATAGTGGGCGTAAGCCACGGAGCGTTGGACTCGATGCGAATGTCCTCGTCGCCTGCATGGTTCCTGAGTCTATAAAGTAGGCGGTAATAATAAGACTCGTCCAAAGGGGCCGCGGCAGGAAATACGAGATTGGCGCAGACATTGAGACAGGCCTTCAGGATGCTGGCGTCCGTGTATAGCCGACGCCAGCACACGTCTACATCTTTGAAGGGGAAGACGCGCAGGTGGGAATCTGCTTCCTTGATTGCACCTTCGGGGTCCCGTAGTAATAGTTTGGAGAGGTCATTTGAACGACCTGGGCGGCATCTCACGATGGGATCGTCCTCGTCAACTCTCCGAATGGACGTGATTGCGTGGAGGATGACTTTTGAAAGTGAGGCATTCATGACAACTAAGATATCCCTTTTGTGGTAGATGTATTGCGATCCAAGCGAAGGATAGACAATATCACTGGCCAATGGTGGAGACTGTTTTTGTTTTGTAATTCTTTTGGCGGTGGCCCAGCGCCCATGACTGAATCTGATGTTTCCCGCAACTTCCTTTTTTTCTCCTTGACGGGTCGCCCGACGTCATGCGGGGACACTCAACACGACCTTTTGTACATACAAAGATGGCGGTCTTCGACTTCGAAGTACATTGCACTGGAAGCAAGATATATGATTTATGTTCCGGAGAAAAGCGTGATGGATAACAGCGATAGTGTAGTTGCAAGCAAGGAAAACAATTGGCATAGCATGAGGTTTCCATTTACTGATTCTATATTTACATACATGCGTCCAGCCAGGTAGCGTGCTGTACTCGGCATACTCTGCACAGACGTTCAAATGAGCCTCTGTCAGTCACACAATCAACCCAGCAGTTCCATCACTAGTCGGGGAATGCGAGCAACCCCTTCACCCTTGATAGCGCTCACGGGAACAGCGCAGACTCTCTCTTTCCACCCTTCTTGCAAGCCACCCGGGTGATCAGCCTCGCCCTTTTCCACGGCGGCAAGATAGTTCCGCAGTGCCTGAAACTGCTCCTGAGTCTCGGGGAGGTCAGCCTTTGTAGCCACGACAAACCAAGGCTTGGTATGGATCGGTGGCATTTTAAGCTCCGGGAGGGGATTGAGGTCTTGCTTGGGACTGGCGGAACTAGTGTCAGGGACCACGAAAGTAGGCTCCGGCGCTTCTTCCGACGAGAAGAAATCCGGCAGCTCGTCTACTGGTGCAGGCCACGCAAGTTCCTCCAGTTTCAAAGCATGTTCTGCTTCACGCATCCGTTGATATTCACCAAGCTCAAGCCATAAATTCTTGAGACCTTGAATGGGATCACCGGCACTGAGGTCGACTACGAACGCAAGGATACCAGCTCGTTCGATATGTCGCAGGAAACCCAATCCTAAGCCGCGATCAAGGTGAGCACCCTCGACCAGACCCGGGATATCAGCAATCGTGAAATTCGTCCGCGGCTTCCTGCCTTCTAATTCGACCAGAGGTCTTCCCTTGTGATTATCGATGACAACCGTGCCGATATTTGGTTCAAGCGTCGTAAACTCCCAGTTCCCGACTCGTGTGCGACTGTTGGTCAATGAGCGTAGCAAAGTGCTCTTTCCAGCATTGGGCTTTCCCACCAGCCCAACATCCGCAAGGAGCTTGAGCTCGAATTCAAGCTCTAGACGCTTGCCACCTTCCCCTCTGGACGCGAACTTCGGCCGGCTCATCGCGCGGTGCGCGAAGTGCGGGTTGCCCATCCCTCCCACGCCACCCGCCGAAAGCAACATCGGCTTATCCATGTGGTGTGAGAGATCAAGACTGATGGGCTGTTTGGGCTCCATGGAGGCGATGTGCTGCCGCCGCGGCGAAATTTTCGGAAATACCGTGGTCAGATAATCGGACGGATTGGCTCCGGGGTACAAAACCCAGCGATCGCGGCGAATCGATGTGATGCCGACCTCCTGCTCCTCCTGCTCCTCCTCCACTTCTTCCGAGCCCTTCATGCGCTCGTGTCGCTGCCGTAGTTCCTCCTCCGCGACCGGGTCGTACCGATCGACTTCGCGTACGACGGTACCCACAGGAACCTGGAGGAGTACATCTTCGCCGCGTTTGCCGCCCTTGCTCTTTCCCTGTCCGTTTTTGCCTCGTCCCGCCTTGATGACGCCTCTCCGGGCGAGCTTGTGTAAGCTGGTCAAGCCTTCAACGGCCTGGATGTAGATGCTCCCACCGCTGCCGCCGTCGCCACCGTTCGGTGGGCCTTCCTCGACATACTTCTCGCGAAGGAACGAGACGCACCCATCTCCGCCTGAGCCTGACCATATCGTCGAGCGACACTTGTCTTGAAATATGAACCGAGAGTAATCGTCCGGTAGAGGATTGAGATGGGAGGTTTCGAGAGGTTGTTGGTCGGGCACGGTGGCTTGGCTTACGGGCCGTTGTGAATCAGAGTTGGTGCTATTGTGTCGTTGACAATGCCTCAGCACGCGAGCTAATGCGATCGGTGTTTGATGTAGTCGGGCCGACCGCTGAGCGCCTGAGACTGGAAATGAGCGTAGGATGCATCTTCGTTGAGCGGCCATGATGAGCGTTCGAAACTACTAGCGGAAATTGTTCATTGTCAGACAATACTTCACACTTGTGACTGAAGGGTTTGCACAGTCAGTTGCGATTCATATTCTCCTTGGCTTTGGAGTACTATGGATTCAGTTGCGGATTTGTGATGTGTGCTTGGAGTTAGGCAATGGTCGATGCCTATGACTTCAGTGTCGTGGGCAAGGAAAACTGACGATCATGTGACGTTATCGGCACATGATGATAAGATCTACTTAGAGCTTTTCTCCGCTTACATTATTTGCGCGGGTGTGCTTCTCGTTTGTAGAGCAGCTAGACAACTCACCAGTATGATTGGAATGCCATCCTCGTACATCGATTTTAACTTATATCTGAGCCTATATACTGAATCCAGTCGCATCTTACAGTATTCAGGCTATGAATTACCCACCAGCTTGTGCACGATGCTCACGCTGCCATGATAGGTATATATCGGAGTAGGCTGCAGCCAAGAGTACCTGGGATGTGCACGAAACAGAAAATATTCACAACCCTTTGGACTTCTAAACGGGCAATGAGAAAGTCCATGCCAGTGGCAAGACCTGCCTATACCCAAGCAAGTCGATTTCTGCAATCCTTCCATAAAATGAGCTCGTTGCAGAAAGTTGATCCAGACTTCCACAAACCCTGATTCGGAAAAAGGTAAGCAATCTTGTGTATGTACATACGGAGTACTGCCGCGAAAGATGAATACGTGTCGGCCCAAATGACAAAGCCCCTCGTCTAACCGCAAGACCCTCATATCGAATTGCGCTCGCATCTCTCTGACATTTTTCTCTACGCTCAAATTCTAACAGCGGTTTTAAGGCAGGGGGCAGACTTCGAGTACTCGTTGGGCTAGTAGGCTAGGAGAAGTTGCCTTCGAGGTGGACTATGCAGGACAGCATGTCTCGTCTGCACACCGTCTCGAGAAGGTATCGATGCAGCCAAATGCTGAAGAGTTCAGAGTAAAGCCGTGGTTGTAAAAGTAGCCATAATAGCCAGCCAGCAAACACCCCCCCTCCCTTTTCCTACTCCAAGCATCAGTAAACCGGTAATAGTACGCATGGCTCCGACACAGTGTTCAGGGAACAAAGAACGAAATCGATTATCGTTGCAGCGACGCCAGCAATTAATGGCAAGTGAGTCTTCTTTCGGTCCTCATAGCGCATTCCAAATCTACTAGCCGGGTCCAGAGGACAGTACTCGGGTGGTAGAGCTACCGAAATTGTTGAAGACGCAAGTCTTTAAACCTGTGGCGCAAAGACACACAAGTTAGCGACAGGTTATAATCCCGGCAATTGGAGTTGAGTCGGCAAATCGAGGCATAGTGGGAACATACGAAATGCATGATAGCAAGCCTTACAATATTGCTATTACCAAGAAACAAAGGAAGTGTCTCACTTCTTTTGCTTCATTGCCATCTTAACAAACGACCATGACCGGTAAGCCGACAGCACAGGAGTTGACGAGCAAGTCCGAGACGCTTATGCTGAGTGACACCATCTCTACTCACCGTGGACGCAGAAATGCGCGCGCGCGACTCGCGCTCTGGCTGATCCTTTTGGAAGGATTGATTTCAAACGATATAGCCCTCGCTCCCCCGGCACCATAGCAACCAAGCCACATATATGCTTCACAGAGGGTTAGGATCTATGAGATTCTCAGATCGGTTGGTGAGTTCAAGTGTAAGGCAGCTTCCTCCTCGTCCTTTCCTGGAATCTGGACCGTTCCCCAGAGTGGCAAATAAGCGACAATAACATTGTGGAGCGCGACAAGTGGGCCGCAGCTTTTGACGTGTCATATTTGATTTGGGCCAATTGGCAACCTAGATCGGCGGGACAAAGGGACAAAACTGCAGCAGATAAGAGAGAAACCTCTATGCAGCAAAGAAAGTCAGTCCGGTGGGGTGGGGAGGAAGGGAGTGATTGGGAAGGGAAGACCAGAAGGATCCATTCATAGAGTAATTCCCATATTTAGACAGGGATGGAAGTGGGAGGGGAGGGAGGGTGGTGGAGAGAATCCGCGGGTCCCCCGCCACTTCTCCAGGACCATCCGTCGCTTTGGGGACCTATCACGAACCCTCCTAAGCCATGAGGGTGTCAAGATGTTCAAGATGTCATGATGACCAGCCTTGGGCCTGCGTTTCAGCTTTTCAACAAGGAATTCATATATTACTTGTGTAGGGGCGGGAAAGTTAACCGCCAATGCCTGTCTACAGCTGATGCACAAAGACGAATAACAATCAATCTGTCTATGTATCTAGAAAGTATAGTCATGAACCGGAGGTAAACAGTCACCACCATCTGGTCTCTTCTTCGAATGTTAGTCTGGTTTGTTAGTTATATCTTGATCGAGCCCTCCCTTCAGGTCCAGGTCAGACTTCCATGGCTGGCAAAGTATCTGCCTAACCAAAAGTAGCTTGGGAATTTTCCAAGAACTGTTCACCAGGTACTTTGGTCCATGCTGTGCCCCGAACGATCGGCTCCTCTGTCTATCCAATTTGAGTATAGAATGGCTTGTCGGCTCCAGTCTAGCTGCAGATGATCCATAAGTCATAGTATGAGTATGAAAAAAAGGCTGTTCTTTTCACTGACTCAGCAATCAATGATGACTAGTTGCTTAGCATTCTATAGTTATCACCATCTCAGTTGACGTATGTGCGATATGTATCTGATCGACCCTTTTCAGTCCAAGGATAAGTGGGGGTGTCTATCTTCTATTTTAGTACCATCGAACTCAAGAGCCTAGGCTCCCGGATGGTAGAGCAACCCGTGCATGTATCGATGCTGGGGAATGTCAACCCTGTCATGGCCAAGGGGGGGTTAGGTACTCCGTAGATCGTAGACGGAGGCGGTTGCATCTACATCGAACCTGCATGTATTACGACGACTCGCAAAATCAAGGCTTTCGTTTCTTTGTCTGAAAGATAGAGATCTGCTCACGAATTCTCGATCAAGAAGCCAACGTAGATATTGCATTATTTGGTTCTTATTATCATCTCACCCATGCATTAAGACAATGCGGCGTGACAAAAACAGTTGACATCTCATTGCTGGCTAGGCCGGTGGTAGGACGCTTGGCTATGATAGCATCATTCCAACTCCCGTCACGATGCTCATTTAGAGCACAACACGTGACATCACATGACTTGGATGAGGGTATACGCTCATTCATAGGCAAGTGGTCGGACACCCAACAGGTGTCAGAGACAGCCTTGCTGTATAGCAATGCCCAATGTATTCTGACGACTCTGGTTTTCCCGAGGCTTGGCGGTCGCATGTCACGATTCTTCATGAGCCTGCCTCGACGAGAGACGATTACCGGGTTAGGTAAAAGGTCCAAAGGACGCGCATAGTGTGAAAGTATCCGATCAAGCAGCAATGGCCTGTCGCACCACCGCTGAACTTGCTACGCGATAGCAGTCAGGTGAGCTCGGCTATGGAAGTGTCGTATGCGACGAGGGAATTGTGCAACTCGATGCCTGAATCCCGAAGACGTCAGACATTGAACAGCAGCAGGTGCTTGTAGGAATAGATGGCCGTGGTGGGTCGATAGATAGGCGGTGGCCTCCAAACAAGGCGAACGATGAAACAATCGAGCATGGCCTACGGAGTGCGTACGTGCAGCTTTGACTGCATGTATGCAGTTCATAGAGTAGCCCAGTCCCTCGGGCTCATGGTTCGGAGGGAATGTCCACATGCTGCCCTCCACCCTAATATGAGTCTAAATTTCTAAGGTAAGGTTACGGTAGGTTAGATAGTAAGTACTGTACAGTACTTTAGGCAGGTAATCCATAGCCGCTTGCGGTACCTGGAAAGGGCTGAACAAGCTAAGAATGAAGGAGCCGAACTGTGACAGCAATCGAATCAAAAACCTCTCCGCCATAAGCGCAGCAATTTAGATTTACTGACTGTACTGTCACGATCTGGAAGCAAGCAACCGATCAACAGCGAATCTAGACGCGACACTGGTCCATCGCCTAGATAGAGATGGTGGACGATGGGTCGACGTTCACACAGAGCCACCTGCATGACAATGCCATTGGTCTATAGTCTGTGAACGATGCGGCAGTAGTACGGTCGTCACGCAATTTACCAGTCGTTTTCTTTGTTCTCCATGGCGCGAGGGTCAACCGATGTGGATGGCCTGACAGGGCACACAAAGTACGCTTTCTGTGTTACGAATCCCAGCAAGGATTTTGGAGGAACCATGAAAGTGCTAGATGCCTAGCGACACTAATAATCCTGTCAGGGAGGCTGTCATGCATTCGATTGATGTTCTGATGTAGGGTGGGAACGCCCACGTTGAGAATGAGTGGGTACGCGATCCTCGCGACCACTTTTTCTATCTGTACTTACATATGAACATATGTGACCAACTATGAGTATGACGGGAGTACTAGTCACGGCACATCACAAAGTAGGTTAGCTTGTTTGAACCCCTCTCTTTTCCCCCTCTCCTCTGATAATAAAGGGTGATACATCCCATCCATGTCCCCGGACCAGCTTTGCCGCCTTCCTTGGATGAACAGCCACCGTTCGAACAGGCCTGAGGCTCCGCAGTGGAGGCGCCAGCCAAACAAAAGGAAGTTGGGCGAATGGGGTCGCGTTCCTGATACCGTCGGAAGGGGGAGGATTTGCTTCCCCTGCAGCTCACAGCTCACATGATCGAGGTCGAAAGCAGACGCAACCCTTCCCTCTCCGTCTTCCCCCCGGGCCGGCTAGAAATGGTTCTAAGATGGGGCTAAGAAGTAATTAGTGCGCGGCGAAAAAAAAAAAAAGTCTAATGCCTGGAAACGGGGTTTAAAAATGAAGGGGAAAAAAGCAAAATGAGGCAAGAAAAAGAAAAAGGCTAAAGTCGATCAATCATCGATCACGATGACTCAATAATCTACTAAGTGATTGATGTTCTTTTTGAGGACTGGAGAACAGACCCATCCATCCTCGATCGTTATCCGTCGCCGCGGCACCGGATCCCAACTTCCGTTGGAGTAAGAAAGTCCCATTCCATTATTCTCCCCTTCATTTCTCTTTGAGATTCATCCCACCACCATCAGTTGGCTTGGCCACCCAAGAGGTTCTTTTGCAATTGTGACTGTGGCTTCGCTTGAGGAAGGGCGGATGGGCAGGTGCCGCTGCCAATGGACTCGC